TTAATTGATCTTATTAAGGGTTTCCCCCAGAAAAGAGACTAAGTCTGGTGGTAGATGGCCCCAGGGCGGCTGATTGCCAACCCATTTAGTTTTAGTAAAAAATGTCTAAAGATGAAAATATTGTTGTGTGATGTTGTTCGCTCTGAGGGTGTTGCCTAAGAGCGAACATCGAAGTTCAACCTAAAGTCAAACATTTATGTACGTTGGTTTGTAACACTAATAATGTTGATGTGAATATAAAGCTGGAGTGGTTTATAATGTACATAATTTGCTTCATTGGTTCCTGCAGATGCTCAGCAGATGTTGCTGCTTAAAGAAGATGCTCCTGAAGAACATGGTCCAGGTCTTGACCTACAAGGTCCAGAGTCTCTCCCACCAACCATGAATGAGGATGATGAAGAGCTTATCTGGTCCTCACACCTTCATCAGCACCACAGAGTGTTACCAGAAGATCACTGTGAAGCAGCAGAACCTATCAGAAAGCAAGATCATGGAGATTATTCTAACTCATCAGAGACTGAACTCATTGAGGAGGAGGAAGAGGAGGATGAAGCTGATGTAAATAATGTTTTCTGTCAACTTGAGCAATTGCCAGATTACAAGCCAAAATGTGAATACAGGGAAAATGACAGCAAGGTGAGCCATTCAACTAAAGGTTCTCCAATCTCTGAGGATAAAATGAAATCCTTTACTTCAAAGAAAACCCTAGACTCAAAGAGGAAAGTTCAGGTTGAAATGAAGTTTAGCTGTGATGACAATGGTGAAATATGTAAAAAAAATCCAACATCGAAAAGACAAGCGAGAACCCTAGCAGGACATGAACATCTCTGTAAATTGTGTGGACACACATTTAGCAACAGAAAAAACTTAGACACACACATGAGAATCCACACAGGAGAGAAACCTTTCAGTTGTGATCTTTGTGGATACAGATGTAGCAGAAAATCAAGTTTAAATGTACACATGAGGATCCACACAGGAGAGAAACCTTTCAGTTGTGATCTTTGTGGATACAGATTTAGCGAAAAATCAAATTTAAATGTACACATGAGAATCCACACAGGAGAGAAATCTTTCAGTTGTGATCTTTGTGGATACAGATGTAGCAAAAAATCAAGTTTAACTGTACACATGAGAATCCACACAGGAGAGAAACCTTTCAGTTGTGATCTTTGTGAATACAGATGTACCCAAAAATCAAGTTTAAATGTACACATGAGAATCCACACAGGAGAGAAACCTTTCAGTTGTGATCTTTGTGGACACAGATGTAGCGAAAAATCAAGTTTAAATGTACACATGAGAATGCACACAGGAGAGAAACCTTTCAGTTGTGATCTTTGTGGACACAGATGTAGCGAAAAATCAAGTTTAAATGTACACATGAGAATCCACACAGGAGACAAACCTTTCAGTTGTGATCTTTGTGCATACAGATGTAGTAGAAAATCACATTTAAATGTACACATGAAAATCCACACAGGAGAGAAACCTTTCAGTTGTGGTCTTTGTGGATACAAATTTAGTCAGAAATCAAGTTTAAATGTACACATGAGAATCCACACAGGAGAGAAACCTTTCAGTTGTGATATTTGTGGATACAGATGTAGCAGAAAACAATGTTTAATTCGACACATGATAACCCACACACGATAAACATTTCAGTTGTGATCTTTGTGGTCATGGATGTATCCAGAAGCCAATTTTAAACACACACATGAGAATCCACTAAAGATGGACATTCTAGTTGTGATATTTTAGGGACAGGAAATGAGGACAAATTCTAGTATAAATGGAAGTGTGAGGATTTGAGTTTCTCTGTGTGTTTATTTTAGGTTCTGTTCCTAGCGAGTCTGCTGTCCTGACTTCCCTTTTATTGTTCCCAGGCGTATTTCGTTCCTGATTACACTCAGTGTATTTAAAGTCACCTGTGTTCTTTCCTTGTCGGGTCCTGGTCATATTTCTCATTGAGTGTAAAGTTATCGTGTAGTCTGGCTGTAGTTTTTGTCTATTGGTGTTTCCTGTTGTTACCAGTTGTCAAGTCTTAGCCTTCCACTTTCTCTCTCTGCTGTCAGGATTTTGCACTTTGCATTTTTTCTGGTGGATTATTACCATTAAAATCACCTTTTCTTCACTTCTACCATGGTCTCAACGTCTGCCTCACCACTTCCAAAACACAATTCATGACAGGAAGACTCTAAGGAAAAACAGTTATTCAGCTGTGAGTGTTGAAATCTATGAAACACTTATGACAATGGAAACTGATTTAAAATGGTATTGCTGTAAAGCTTATTGTGGAGAATTTCTGTGCTTTTAAGGATAACTTTTGTGTTTAGGTATGTTTCTCTTCCACTAAAGTTTTGATTTGATTTTATAGAATACACTAGACATTTTCTCTTGTATTGCTGGAAATGTGATTTCTCACTGAGTTAATACTAATAAATCAGATTTCTATAAGCACTTTACTGCATTTTTGTCATTGCTGTAGATACAACTGTGCCACAAATGTTCTCTGATCTTGTTAACTGATGTTTCTGCCTGGTGTATATGTTCAATAATGTAAAATGACTTCATGCGAGTTTATTTTCATAGGTTTGTTGTGCTTCAGAATATAGTAATCTAGTCTGCAGATTAAGGATCTAAACTTGGATTAGACCAAACAAGTACTAAATAAGTACAAGCCATTATTTACCAATTAAATTTATCTTAATGGAAAAATTCCTCAGATTAAATCCCTGGAGGCTAATTCAGCTGCATTTTATCTTTAGGATAAAATATGTGTGTCTATGAAATATTGAAAGATTTGGTTTGATCCATTTCAAGCTGCAGTTAGTTACGACTCTTAAGTAAATAGAAAATCCTCCTGTTTTCAGCTTTTTAGATGTATTGCAAAAAATCTATTTGGATTCTTTTTAATGTCAACTTTTCTAATATTTAATATAATAAAAAATCCTAATCTCCCTGTAAATATATAATTAAGTCAAAAAGAGTGATTTTCCTATGAAAACGTTCATTTCAAGTATTCTGGGACTTAGACATATCCTTCATCTACGATGTTCCATTGCGTACTTAGGATGCAGGCGTCTGTCCCTGAATAGGCGTTCCAGTTCAGCAACAGCTTCATGCAGGAGGTGGGAGACATTGTCTTTCAGTCATGTTCTTTTAGTCAGAGTCCTGCTCTGGGTCGACGGGGCATCGTCTCACAGAGCTGGGTTTCCTGATTAGCTTAGCCAGCCGCTTCCTCTCAGCTGCAGATAAGCTGATGCCACAACAGAGTCAAAGGTCATCAGGAGAGTCTCCTGCTTCCCAAAATACCTCAGCCTCCTCAGCGGGTAGAGTCTGCTCTGATCCTTCCTGAAAAGATCATAACTTTGTCACAAATATCTCAAAATTTCACCTTATCCATTGTGGCTGGTCCTGTCATTGAGTCATACATTTAGAAGAGCTGAAAGGTTTCTTAAAACCTTGTTTCTGCTCCAAATTTAGTCTTTGTTGGTAATGTAGTCCAACAGTGCATCGAAAGTAATTCTGGTGTTTGAAAATTCATTGAAATAAACAATCCAAACAAAGGATAAATTGTGTTTTTATTACACCATCCTATGGCTAAAGAAACATTTCTAAAATAATTACGGCTCAAAATTATTCACACTTCTGATTAATACTAGATTTATATTGGTCTTTTATTGTTACCACATATTTTTCTGATAGGAATATAAAATGTTGCTTTTACAACATTTGAAATGTATTATTGAAATGCTGTTGAAAACAGAAAATGTAGATTGGATTTTTATTCTTAATGAATTCCTTTTGTCATTTCAAACAAACTGCTTTTGAATGAAAATAAGTATGCAAGGGGTATGAATACTATTACGTCAAATTATTTATGAAAAAAATATTTTTCTCAAAAACTTAAGATATTCAACATATAGACATTTGTAATACTTATGTGTCAGAGAAAGCCTAGTAATATATGAAGTCCAGTGGTCTGAGGGAAAATAAAGTTATTGTTTGATAATATGAAAAAGTGAAAGCTAAATTTGACTGATTAGACATTTTACTAAACATGAATGAATGTTATCAGTATTTGTTTCAATATCTAACACTGACAGTCCTAACTATAATTATATAGTTTTGTCTCTGACAATTGAATAAAATTGCCAATTTTACCTACACTCCTCACCAGTAGGTGGCGGCGATGCACACCAGAAGCTTTTTTTTTCTTCTTTTCGCCAACCCGCAAAAACCGCAAGAGGAAGAAGAAACTGAATAGTAGGATTTCCTGTTTCTGCATCTTAGGTCATGCGGGGACAACGCGTCCCGCTTTTCATGGTTTGGTGATATTTCTGGTAAGAAAACAGTAAATATTCTCATAGTTTGTTGAAA